AAATGGCATTGACATTGACTGCAGCATTTTGATCCAATGGAGCAAAGTCATCCCAAGAGCACCTAAGGACGAAAACGGTGGAAAGGAGGAGTGGGCTACAGAGACCATAAACAAAAGAAAATGATCACGGGAGTAGGGAATGGGGTGAACGGACAACAAACAGAAAAACAATAAAAGCCTTGTAAAAATCATAAATAAAACTGCTTTTGTCCAACAAGCAAAGTGGAATCATCTGCTTGGACTTTAACATCGTAGTCCCAGGTATGCCTACAGGGGATGTGGAAACGGTACCAAAAAACAAAGATGGGAAAAGCAGAAGGACTGGATCAAATAGAGAGGGAGGAGTTCCATGTTGAAGGACCAGTATTCAAGGTATCAGATAAAGGCAAGACCTTATCAATGATGAAAAAAAAAATGACAGAAAACATTTAAGGTCTTTAAGGTCAAAATCTGTGATTCTATGACCTAGAATTACTAAACCATCTGCTTACTCTTCCATCTATGCAAAGTCTTTATGAGATCCCCCATACCACACCCTCAAGTCATGATGAATGAAGGCATTAGTGGGGAACCAACAGGATTTCCAAAGTGCTGCTCCACAACTGATTGAAAGATGTAGAAAATATATTATTCCCCGTACCTAGTGCTGGATTCTGAAAAAAAGCACTGGAGGCAACAGATCAAAAGACATCTGCTATCAATACAACAAAATCATTCTTGTTCTTTAAAAGGTCTAATAACAGACCTAGCCATGCTGTACAACTCTCCAATCATAAACACCAGGCAGTCACAGCACAGGGAGGTGCACCCTTACCACTGCCATGGGAAAGATGCAGTGCAGAAGAGGGGTTCCCTGGGGATGGTGAGGTCCTGCCCAGGCTCCTGGTTGCCGATGACCTTTGACTGACTGCATCAAGCCCAGGAATACTGTAGAGCCTCCTGAAAGGCAGCTAGCCTGACCATCCACCCAGTCTATTTACTGTCTGGATTAGAACATGAATTTGGATGGACACCCTATAACGCTTGTCCATCGTATAATCATTATGTATATTTGTTATAGACAATTCATACGAACAATGACCCGGGCATGATTGCCTTTGGGAAACTCGAAAGCTCCTTTCACGACCCCAACTTTACTCTTAAAACAAAGGCTTTCTAATCCCAATTTATCCTCTTAATACCACTGTTGCCTATGCCAAGACATGAGAGGGCGGGGGAAAGGGAACACTTATTAAGTGATGGCTGCGGTTTTTCCTACCCATCCGACCACTTTTGTTTATTCTCCTTTGTCAGGTCATCATCTTTCTCCTGCCTCCTAAACTCAAGAATTCCCCAGCGTTTTGTCCTAGGACATCTTCATTTCTCACACTGCACTCTTTTCTCTTGGTGACTTCATCAGCTCCAGTGGCCTCAATTACCTTCGAATGAGAAAACAAACATGGAGTGTGAGGCAAACCTTAAAAAGCACTATCTATCTATCTATCTATCTATCTATCTATCTATCTGGCAGCTATCTATCTGACAGCTATCTATCTGACAACTATCTATCTGATGGCTATCATTATCATCAAATCACTAACTTCAAGCCAGTGACTCTAAGATTGATCTATCTAGGCTGTCAGTCAGCTGAAAAGGCAAGTCACATCACATCAATAAGCATTTATTAAATGCTTGCTGGAGAAGGAAATGGCAAACCACTCCCTTATCTTTGCCAAGAAAATCCCAAATAAGGTCAGGAAGAGTCAGACCTGACTGAGACGAGTGAACAACGATAAATGTTCACTGTGTTCGAGGCGCCGTTGAAGGCACTGGGGATCCAGAGAAAGTCTTGCTTCCCCTGATGGTTTCTAAGGTACCTTCCAGCTCTCGCCCTTTGGCCCTGGGATCATCACCTGCCTGGTAAATAACTCCGTGAAAGTTCACCATCAGCAGCATCTCAGACTCACCAATTCGTCATCTCTTGCCACACTCCCAACCTCTGTATTCTGTAGAGAGGAGTACCATCCTTCCAATCACCCAGTTCTGTACCATTGGCATCATCTCTCAGTCTTCCCTCTCCATCTCCCTCATTCAGATGCCAAGTTTTGCGATTCTATCACGAGAACAACCCCTTCCATCCACCCCGGTCCCTCTCATCCCATGACCGTGGCTCCCTCCCTAAATCAGGCCTTCACTGCCTTTTACCATCACGCTAGAAGGGCCTCGTCGTTGATCCCCTCACCTCCAGGCTCTGCCCTCATCATCCACATTCATCACTCACATAACTGCAGAAATAAGCTCTCCCAAGCACAGGTCTAACATGGTGAGGTCCCCTGCTCAGAGTCCTCTAGCGATTGCCTATGGCCGGTAAGCTAAAGACAATCCCCTTAGTCTGGAATTTCGCACCGTCCCCCCAGTGTGACTCCTATCCACCTCTACCCCTTCATTCCATGCTACTCCCTCTACACATTCTCCATCCCGTCCGTATCGGCCCACTCACTATTCCATAAACTTGACCCTCCATTTCTCCCCTCCCTGTCTGCATTTGAGTAAACTACCCCAGCCCCAGCCCCAGCCCTGAGTCTGGAATGCATTCACGCCTTATCTCGGCCTCTCAGGATTCCTGTCTTCCTTGAAGGCCCAGGTCAGAAGCCACCTCTTGCAGGAAGCCTTTTCTGTTCCCTTTCCTTCCGGCTTCTCAGCTTTTCTCCCCCCACCCCCCCTCACCATCCCTGTACCATCCTCATTCATTCATACAAACACTCATTCAGCACCCTCTATGTGCTAAGGGCTGGTCCAGGTGTTGAGGACAGAAGGACACAAATAAAATCCCCGCCTTTAAGGCTCTTCCATTGTCCTGTTGTACTTGGCTGCATCCTTGTGTCCTCTCAATGGAACTCTATTCGCCCCTTGGTTTTGATGTTGTCATTCCAGGCCAAGCGCCCGGCACAGTGCCTTACACTTAGGAGGGATCCGACTCGTATTTGTTGACCCAAACTGAAGAAAAGACTGCACATGTGAGCATGTAAACACAATCTAAAACATTTATTGAAATATTTGTCGTGACAGTAGATGCTTGAGAAAACCGCCATTACATTTAGAGGCCAGACATTTAGTCTTTCATTGACCACCTATTCCTAAGGGATGTTTGCTCAGGGGATGTGGCCTTAGCCTCTCCTGTCATAGCCAGAGATTTTCATTCACTAATTCCAATTCATTCATTTTGTTTTTTATACCTAAAATTGAACTCTTACAAGAGCACATAAGCAAAAATTATAATGAAAAAGGCCATCAGAGCACCATTAAAAAAAAATGCCAGCAAAAAAGACAGCCAGAGAGAATTTTGAACAAAATTTAAATTTTCATTCTCAACTATTTTCTCTTTTAAGAAAGCGATTTGAACCGGCCGGCCACTGGAAAGTCTTAGTGACCTCTCTGTCCATCTAGATGGAGACGTGTGAACAAAGCAGAAATGGTGGAACTTCATTCTAGTTCCAAATGGGAGTGAGCAGTAAGCTCTGGTCAAGTCACCTCCTGTCCTGAGCCTCAGTGTCTCCTTGGCAAGTCAAGGGAGGGGGAAAGTCTGGATGAGCCCCAAAGAGTCTTCCAGGCCTGGAGTCAAGGGTTCTAGACAGCCAGGACCAATGAACCCGAAGCTTGTTAACTGGTAACAAGTAAAATAAAAGGTTTTGTTTTTCTTGACATATACAGTTACATACATATTTTTGGCATGACTTTATTTTACAGCAGTCAATGTGCTCCCTCCACTATATTGTTTTAAACATCAGGTTTGATTTGCTAATCCCTGTTGCTGTTCATTCTTTATTGTCAGAAGACGGCCAATGACAGCACGACTTTGAGGAAATAGCCTTGCCTCTCTGGTAAAGAGGTCCCACTTTGAAAGAGGCTCCACGAAGACATGAAGTGAACATTGTCTTATCACGGGGTCCTGGAGCTACAGCCGGCAAGGCTCCAGCAAAGGTCATCCAGCCCAATCTCCTTATTTTATAGAAGAGAAAAATGAAGCTCAGAGATGTTAAATGCCAAAGATCACACAGATGTTAAGCATCAGAGACGGGATTTGAACCCGGGCCCTCTGATTTCAGAGCCAGTCCTCTGCCTACTGCACCAAGGGCAATGCGTGTCAAGGGAGAAGAAAAGGAAAGACGTCAGACAGGTAAGGAAGCAGCAAGTCTCCAAGCAAAGTAGCGATGACAGCCCCTGAAACACAGCAGCCACTGTGTCTTGTGTCCTCCGGGGATGGGATAGACCAACCCACCTGCCTTTCCCAGAAGAACCCGGGGGTTCGGTTTGGCCGCGAGAGCCTGAGAGCGTCTGGCTCTGTCTGGAGAAGGCATGAGTCCGCAGCTCCTGCTACTGCAGGCCGTTTCCCCGGCTATGGACAAGGACCTCCTATCCAGAACAGCACAGTCCAGTTAATGGTTAGAGATAGGGCAAAGCTGTGGACCCCTCGGCCCCTGCTGAACCCGAGCCCATTTCGGCTCTGACACCAAAAGCGTAGCTCTTCTCAGGGTACAATCCAAACGGCTCTGACATGACAGACCAGGACTGTGAAGAAAAGAAAGCTCTGCGTGACCTCGAAACTTCAGAAGTTCCAGTGGGGCCCCAGTGTTGCTGCTCAGTGGTGTCCAACTATTCTGGACAGCATTTGGGATTTTCTTGGAAGAGATCCCGGAGCGGTTTGCCATTTCCTTCTCCAGCTCATTTGACAGATGAGGGAACTGAGGCAAACAGGGTTAAGCCAGTGGCCCAGGGTCACACAGCTAGTGAGTGTCTGCGGCCAGATTTGAACTCAGGAAGATGAGGCTTCCTGATTCCATGCTCAGAGCTCTACCCACTGCGCCACCTAGCTGCCCCTTATTGCCCCACTCCAGACCTATTTAGAGTACTGATAACCAAAATGAGCCCCTCTCAAGACGTTCAAAATCTGAAGGCCTTCTCTTCTTATAAATCATTCCCTATGTTAACTCCCTGTGTTCAAGAATGACAGAAAACCAGGATTCATCAGGACAGATTTTTATTATTCATTTTTTGATGGCAAGATTTGGCCAGTGCCTAGAAAGCGGTTATTTTATCTTCATTCATTTCAATAGTTCAGTGAAAGGGAAATATCAAATGAAATAGTCTCGGGGCCAGCTCCGGGGAAGAAAGGAAAGGGGATTCTACGGTGCCCTAGACAGTTGAGGCCAGCAGGTGCACGGCCTTCTCTTCCTTCCTCCTTTAAAGTGCTCACCTCCTGTTCAGAAGGAAGCCAGATGGCACCACTCATGGCTCTCAGCATCATCTCAGACCCTCATCTAGGATGGAAAGAAAGAAATATTTGGAAAGGAAAAAGCAGAATTCTGAAACATGTCCAAAAGCCCCATCAGCACTAAGGCATTCAGAGAATCATCTGCTTGACTAATGTGTGAGTGCAGGGACAAAAGATTTTGTTACTGCTTCTTCTTAAATCATTCTTTTAATTGGACAGGACCTGATCATTATCCAGATCTTTCGAAAGATCCTTCCCCTGGGAAAGGCCCCCAAAGTAACTACCTGGCCAGCAGCTATACAGTCTCCAATTTAATGGATTGTTCTTGCATAGAAGCCAAGAGCAAGGCCTGGACTGCATGGAAATAGGTGCTGATTGGAAGCTTTAGGAGGTAATTTTATCATGAGAGAAACAAGGAAGGGAAAACCGTTACAATTTGCTGAGGGAAAACAAGAGAGGCACAGACAGAGGGAGAGAGACGGGGAGAGACAGAAAGAGCGTGGCCCATCTTCTCTGCCTATATCACGCAATCAGCAGCTGCCCAGTGAGCCCGGCGTTGCGGTCCTTGAGGAGGGAAGTGATGATGCTGGCACCCTGCCTGACGTTTTCGTGTAGCTGTTGTAGATTATCCTGGAAAGAAGAACAACAAAAATTAAGGAGCTTTCACAAGTACCTGGTGGCTCAGGAAAGATGCTGCCTGCTGCCTCCAGACACATCATGAAGCCACTACTGACATCATTTTAAAGATCCAGGGAGAAAACAGTAAATCACTTTGCAAAGTGGAATGTGCCATAGAAATGCCAGCTATTGGTGCTGTGCGGTTGTTGAAGGTGGGCTCCATTCTGATTTTTAGGCAGGGGGCCTGCTCTGGCCCCACTGCTCCTGGGCTCATCCTCCGGCCTCCAGCTGGCCTGGGCTGAGCCTGGAGTCCCACAACAGGCTGCCATCAGCCCAGAAGAACTGTCCTTTGCAAGGATGTCCCAAGACTAATGTGGTCAGCACACCCTAGAGAGGCAGGGTTAGCGCTGACCCAGGAGGAAGCACCAGCCAGCACAATCCAAAAGGGCATTTACTTCCAAATTCTTGGCTCGCTGACAGGGAAATATTTTAACAGTGATGCTCGGATCCTCTGGTCCTCTTCCTAAGTGTCGTCTTGATTTGGGCTGTGGCTGACTGTGGGTGGGAGCAATATGGAGATTCTCTGGAAGCTGGGCTTGAGATGAATTTTCAGCCTGAGTTACTCATAAGCTGCCCAGGATTGGGAGAAAGCCTTCGGGGCACCCAGGGAGGCTCTTCTCTCTAGTTCCTTTGAAGGTCTTGAGCTGGTGATGCTGCTGCCTGGTAAGGCATTGGACGTGGAGCCAGGCCAGCCCCCACAGCAGAAGAGGCACCCCCCCCCCAAGATAACTTTACATGGACTGAACAGCTTTATGCAACAGAGACAGAATGTCAATCCGGGCCCTCTGCCTGGCTCCATTTCCCCACCTGCTCAGACTTAGGCCTGGAGCACAGGATCCAGGCTGACCTAGAATTCCTGTGAAAGCCACTGACCCATTCACTGAGGTCTCCTGCCCTTGGGCTCACCCCAGGTAAAGAAGGGCCCATCACTTAAAGATGAGACCACGAGGCCATTTCACTGGCTCCAGACCCCCACCCCCAGGGGCCACACACGCTCGTATAGGAGATTTCCTTCTGGTGCGAAGCAGATGTGCTGTTTTGATTTTTCTCTTGCGTTTTCTGAGTTTATCTCATGGCTCTCTTTTCCAAGGCACACACTAGCCGAGAGAGAACACTCAGAAATACCCCAGGCTTTGCTTTGCCCTTTGTTCAGGCAGAACTCCCAATGGGAGCTGTAACTGAGGAAATATTCCTTTAATCATCTCTTTAGACAATTAAACCCAAATCCTTTCATTACTGGCCAAAGAAAGAGTTTTTGCAGGAGGCTCTCACATCAAAAAATGAATCACTCGGACAAGGCGAGCCACGTGTGTGCCTGTTTGTGTCCTGCTGTCTCAGCCCAGGGGGCATCGGTGGAGCCAGCGGGGCGGCAGGCAGCCCAGGCCACTGACCGCAGGCACCAGAGCAGGGTGTGAGAGTTCAGACCTCTGCAGCATTGTCCAGGTGTATCAGGGAAGGGTTTTTTCCTCCTTCCTTCCCTCCTTCCTCCCTCCTCCTTTTCTCCTTCCCAGTTTTTTTTTCCTTTCTTCTTCCCTTGGAAAATAGATTCTGCTGCTCCATACAGGGCTCTGTGCTACACAGCAGAAAAACAGACAAAACAATACACCCGCTGCCCCCACGGAGCTTTCACTCTTCTTTGGGGGTCAGGGTAGAAATCCAGGGGGCACACAAGTAAATTAAGAGGAAATTTGAGAAGGGTGAAGGCACCAGAAACTGGAGATCAGCAGGGAGCTCCTGAGCCGAGGCCAGAAGGGAGAACGTGACCCCTCCTTAAGCACAGGCACTCGGTCATTTTTGTCTTTCGATAACCAGTGCACCGCACACTTTCTGGCACAGAGATGTGCAGTGGGTAAAGCACCAGACCTGAGGTTAGGAAGATCTGAGTTCGAACCTGGCCTCAGGCACTTACTAGCCATGTGACCCTGGGTAAGCCTATTAGCCTCAGTTTCCTCATCTATAAAAATAATAGTACCTATCTCACGGGGCTGTTGTGAGGACCCAATGAAATAATAATTGTAAAGTGCTTAGCACAATCCCTGGTACCTAGCAAGCACTATAGAAATGTTAGCTATCATTATTATAATTATTATTGTTATTACTTAAGAAATATTGCTTAACTGAATGCCGGTGTAAAGAGAGTCACAATTCTCCAAGGAATGATGATATGAAAGTGGAAGCCAAATCTGTCAGCAAAGGACAACAAAGATCAAAAATGCCTGCCTCGGTTTCCCTGTAAGAAAAGTCTGTTGTCTTTCCACTGAGCTAGGTACACGCTTATGGTGGCTCGGCACGGGTACGTGAACACATGATGACGTACACACGTGCACCCACACACCGTTTGTTTGGCCTCCGCTTCCAAGCCCCAGCTCTGAGACTGGAATGATGATCAAAGTATGGCAACAATACATAATAAGCCTCTAATCACAGACACTCTAAAAACCGCTTCTCACCCTAAAGCCCTCCTCCATTCTGAGTCTTCCCTGACAACTTGGGAGAAAACAATTAGACAATTTCATGTACACTTAAATTGTTGGGGAAATCCATTAGAAATCTTGTAGATTTTATTACAACATGAAACCCAGACTTCAAATCATCAGACAGCACTCACTCCTTTCCTCTGTTATTTATAAATTACGGCAACGAATTTGTTTTCCAAAGCAGCAGTGAAATAAAAACTCACACAGTCAAATGGAGTTACTTGCTGGAAAACAACAGCAACAGCTGTACCACGGATACTTCCAGAACGGCCAAAGTGCCATCACCCAGCCAACCCCTCGTCCATTCAAGATTTCAAAACTCCTCGGTAGGACTGAAAATCCCGGCCATTCTCAGAGGACATTTTTCTTTGTCAAATCATCCAAGTCTGTACAAAGAAGTAATCTGAACGTCTCAGCCTTCAATAACGAACCTAAACAACACACATCCACAAGGCCTTTCTTGGTTGTTACTGATGGAGATGTCAGCATTGCACAACATGGGAATATAATGAGAAGTAAACTGCCCACCCCTGCACCCCCTCCAGCCCTCCCCCACCCCCAGCCCTTTACAGAGCTTGGACTGCACCCTCAGCAGAATGCTGAGAAAAATTGCTCGTTAGGTGCAGAATGACTCTTCGCAAGGGGGATTTTAACAGGATGAGAAAAAAGTCAATCAAAACAAATATGAGAAAAGTTCCTTTTGATCATCTAAAGCTCAATATTGCCTTACTTAACATTCTCCAATTTAAAATCAAAGTAGGAATTATGTCCGAAAGTCTAATATGCTTGACAACATGTTGCCTCCAGTGATGAGACTCTATTCAATTCGATCTCATTCAACAGACATTTCTTAAGGGACTACAATGCATAAGTCACCTCTGAGGGGCCAGGATGCAAAAACCTGCCCTTGGGGAACTTCCATTCTTTATTTTTTTTTAAACAAGTGTTTTTAAAACTTTGGGTTACAAATTTTCTCCCTCACTCCCTCTCCACCCACCCTCACCAAAAAAGGCAAGCATCTCGATACAGATGTGTAGTCATGCAAAACACTTCCATAGCAGTCCTGTTGTGAAAAACTAAGTATATTTCCCTTCATACCATCCTCTCCCCCATTTATTCTATTCTCTGTTTTGACCCTGTCCCTCCTCAGAAGTGTTTGCTTCTGATTATCCCCTCCCTCAATCTGCCTTCCCCTCTATCAACCTCCAATCTCTTGTCCCCTCCCCCCCACCTTCCTGCAGAGTAAGACAGATTTCCATACCCCATTGTGTATGCTATTCCCTCCTTAAGCCAAATCCCATGAGAATAAGATTCACTCATTCCCTCTCACCTTCCCCAATCTCCCCTCCAATGTAAAAGCCCCTTCTTGTCTGTTTCATGTGAGATATTTTACCTCATTCCACTTCTCCCTTTCTCCTTCTCCCAGTATAATCCTCTCCCACTCCTTAACTCTATTTTCCAGATATTCCTTCATCTTCAACTCACCTGTGTCCTCTATCTATCTATCTATCTATCTATCTATCTATCTATCTATCTATACAAACATATAATTTTTTCCCTCCCACTACCCCAATACTGACAAAGGACTTATGAGTTACAAATGTCATCCTTCCCTGCAGGAATGTAAACAGCTCAACACCAATAAGTCTCTTATGATTTCTCTTTCCTGTTTACCTCCTCCATGTTTTACTTGAGTCCTGTATTTGAAGGTCAAATTTTCTATTCAGCTCTGGTCTTTTCCACAGGAATGCTTGAAAGTCCCCTATTTCATTGAATGACCATTTTTTTACCCTGAAGGATTATACTCGGTTTTGCTGGGTAGGTGATTCTAGGTTGTAATCCTAATTCCTTTGCCCTCCGGAATATCATACTCCATGCCCTCTGGACCCTTAATGTAGAAGCTGCTAAATCTTGTGTTATCCTGATTGTGTTTCCACAACACTTGAATTGTTTCCTTCTGGCTGCTTGCAATATCTTCTTCACCTGGGAATTCTGGAATTTGGCTATAACATTCCTAGGAGTTTTCCTTTGGGGATCTCTTTCAGGAGGTGATCGGTGGATTCTTTCAATTTCTATTTTGCCCTCTAGTTCTAAAATATCAGGGCAGTTTTCCTTGGTAATTTCTTGAAAGATGATGTCTAGGCTCTTTTTTTGATCACGGCTTTCAGATAGTCCAATAATTTTTAAGTTCTCTCTCTTGGATCTATTTTCCAGGTCAGTTGTTTTTCCAGTGAGATATTTCACATTCTCTTCTATTTTTTCATTCCTTTTGATTAGTGTTATAGTAATTTGATTTCTCGAATTGTCCCTCTCTTCTAATTTCTCCATTCTAATTTTTAAGGAAGTATTTTCTTCAGTAAGCTATTGGACTTCCTTTTCCATTTGGCTAATTTTACTTTTAAGGGCATTCTTCTCCTGATTGGCTTTTTGGACCTCTTTTGCCATTTGGGTTAGGCTATTTTTTAAGGTGTTATT